ACCCCTGTGAGTCTGGGCCTGGCTGGGGGCTGGTCATCTGCTGGGGTGGGGAGTCCCCTGCCAGACCAGCTGAGACGGTCCCAGCGGTCTCCACAATGGAGGGCTTGGACAAGCCTTTTCTTTCCACCTCCCTCTCAGCAGCCTCAGAAGCTGTTTTGTGAGCCACTGGGTTTTGCAAACATCCTGAGTGATATTTTGCACCTTCCCACTCACCATGGGCTGGTTGTTGAGCCTTGAAGCACCACAGTGGAGAGTCCGGGGGCTGTCTCTTTATCTAAACATGATGAGATAAACTGGAGAGAAACAGACCCTGGTACCAAACAAGCAATTATTCTTCAGAAAAAGGGTGGAGGGGTCAAGGACCATTGAGGAGGCAGAAGAGTTGCCCCAGGCTGAGAATCCCCTCACTGGTGGAGCACCAGGGGCCAGGCCAGTCGGTCTGCATCCACACTGGGGGCTCCTCACCTGCCTTCACCTGTTTGCAGGCAGGCTGTGTGCCTTCCCACTGTCCCGGGGGTCAGCCGTCTCTTCCGGGCAGACCCACCATCCCATTCCAGCTGCCCCTAAATGCACACTTCCTTTTTATTGTTTAACCATGTCACTCTATCTCCCTCACAAAATTGCAAATGCTGGAGGCCCTGAGTTCTCAGACGGGACTGGCCACTGCCAGCCAATGCCCTCAGAGCATCGCAGCTCCCCAGGCTGAAGCCCCACCCAACCTTCTTCCTTTCCTCCCACTACAGACCTGGGTACCACGGAGGACAAACTGTGCTCTCAGCACCCAGGTAAGTACCTTTATTGTCCCCCTTTCAGAAATGAGAAAGCTGAGACCAAGAGGCCGTTCCAGAACTGCCTGAGGTCACAGCTAACCAGTGGACAAGCAGGGCTCCTGTCTGCCTGAGCCCAAAGTCCACCCCCAACCCCAGGCACTAAAGCCCCCCAGGTACCCCAACCCCCAGACACCCTGCAGCTTCCTGGAGGCCCCACCCATCTCAAGAGTCATCAGCTCAGGTCAGGGCTGCAGAGCCAGAGGGGGGACAGCAAGGCAGGGAGGCATCTCCACATTTCGCCTGGCACCAGAAGGCCTGTGTTCCCTCAGGCAGGCTGCCCTGGGTGGTCAAAGCTTGCCCGTTGGTCAGTCAAAGCTACCTGGAGGGTGCTTAGCCACTGTCTCAGGGACAGAAGGTGGGCTCTGGGATGGAGATGTTCAGCTGCCCAAAGCCGGGACCTGGATCCCTCAAGGCTCCAGCTCTGGAATCTGCTTCCTCCCAGGATCCCTGGGCACACAGGCCAGTCCCTGCCCTCAAACACCCCACAGTCCAGAGGAAGAGTGGGAAAGGAGGGCCTCAGTTATAGGAATCTTTGGAGGGCGAGGTGGGACAGGAATCTCCCAGGGCTGAAAGAATTGATTTTTTTCCATCACTAAATTTTATAGCAAAATTTTACAGCAGTGCCTGAACCACTTTATTTTTTAAAATTCCAACAGTTTAATACATAAAGTGAATAAGCAAAACTTCCACGAATTCTTCTACTTGTGTTGTTTTTATTTCTACGTTTTAATCTTTGTTCCATCTGGATTTTTTTGGTGTGAGATCTCTGTGAGTCAGGATACAAGCTCCAAGAACTAATTCAGGTTGTCTTAAGGGGAATAAAGGAATATTTATTTTGCTCAAGAAAAACTAAAAGTCCAGGACGGATGGTTGCAGGCATAGCTGGATCCAGGAGCTCACCTGATGTCATGGAGTGCTCTCCTTTTGAATGTACTGGCTTCATTCTTAGGCACGTCCTCGCCACAAGAGGGGAAAATGACAGCAACAGCTACAAATGCAGTTTATCACACAGCAGGCCCCTGAAAAGGTGGTGTCTCTTTCCTGAACAAAAGGCCTGGGGCTGGTCCTCATCAGACAAGTGTGATTGGTGCAGAGGTGAACACGTGGCCTGCATTTGTCCAATGAGGGCCAGCTCAGGCCTTTTGAAATGTGCCAATTGGCCAGGTCTGGAGAGGAGGTAGGCGACTGGGGGAGGGGTGGGTGGTTCCTGGGAAGCAGAGAGGAGGTCCCAGGAAGGGGCAGTGGATGCTGGCCGGGCAGGGGCAGTAGCCCGGAGGGTCCAGCCTACTTCTCTCGCTGGCTTAGACACCGTCTTCATCAGCGGGCGTTTCTGGCCTCTCTCCCGCCCCGTTCTTCTCTCTGTCCATTCATTCATTGATGCCAAACTATTCTCATTACGGTCTTTTTTTAGTGTGGCCCAGTGGTTGGTGAGGCTGTTGTCTCCCCGTCCCATATTGACCCATCTCTCTTCCTTTCCAGGACTTTCCCAGCTATTCTTAGGTTATTATTTTTTTCCATTTGAATTTTAAAATCAGCCTGTCTATTCCCAAGTCACTCTCGTGTTTTATTCGGACAGATGCCCAGACCACACATAGCCCACCCGTGTCCATGTGTCAGTCCAGGGAGCGCCCTGGCTTCCCTCAGTCAAGGCTTCTTTTCCCTCAGGTGGTGACATTTCAGCATCTCCCAGAGATTTTGCACATGGTTTATTGGATTATTCCTCTTTCCTCATTGCTGCAGAGTGGGGGGTAGATGCAGGAAAGGGGTGCAGGCTGAGCCCCCATCCGTGCTGTGAGCCTTGGTAAGAGGAGGAAAACCCTGAGACTCAGACCCCAGCAACCCTACAGTCCAGACTCAGTGTCAGTCTCCAGGCTGGAGGGGTGGAGAAGCCGAGAGAAAGCATCTCCTTCTGAAAGCCAGTGCTGGCCTGAGCCCCGTCTCTAGACCCAGAGGCCCCGCCTCTGATCAGGGCAGGCCTGAGGGCCGGGGGCTTCTCACCCTGCTCCAGGACCTCGGGACCAAGGGCTTGTACTTCTTCCAACTGCAGGAGCCACTGGGGCCCTTGGGCCAGACCCCACAACCCACCAAGCTGGGCCCTGGACCCCTGCTTGTGAGCCCCGCCCAGCCCCCGAGTTAGCTATTTTTGCTGCCTGTGCCCAGCAAGGTATGGTATTTTAAATGTTTTGACATTTAAAATCTGTGTTGGATACATTTGTTCTAGTTAAATTATACCCAGGCTGTGGCGATTCTTGGGGAATTGGTTTGTCTCCTGGACCCGGCCCTGGCATCCCTCTGCGCCCCTACCCAGTCCCCCACCCAGCAGGGAGCCCCAGAAACCTTCCCAGAGCTGGCGCTCGGCCATCAGCACCTCATCATCCCGCAGAAGATGGGCAAGTGGAAAGCAGCAAAACCGGGGGAGGTAGGATGGGTCCCCAGTCTCTGGACCCGCCACCCAAGCTAGGCGGACGCAGGACACAAGGGTGCCTGGTGGAGGCGGCTCCCAGGAACCCATGTGGGCAGATGACGCATGATGGGTGCCGGAGCTGCAAGTGTGGACAGCCATGCTCCCGAGGGTCTGGGTGGCCCCTCTCCAGCGTGGTCCTCCTCCAGTTTAGCAGAGCCTTGTTCAAATGGGACTGAAGGTAACTTCAGGCCACCAGCTCCTGGGAGGCCTCAAGTCCTCGGACTGGGGCCTGGAGTACATGGGAGTAGGCAGGACCTTTGGAGGCCTTGGCCAGTGTCCCAAAGAGAGCAAGTGTGTGAGTCTGCCCTGCTCTGGACAGACGCTCGGCCGCCAGGAGGCTCAGGAAGCAAACCCGCCCATGTTCCGAAACCTCCTGCACTTTTTGTGGCTGCTGGGTCTCAGTAGCCACTGCCCGCATTAGCAGGACAGGGCTGTGATTGTCCTCACCCCTGGTGAGACCGTCACAGTCGTGGTGTTGAGGAGGCCTCAACGCAGGACCCCTGGCTCTGCTTTCAGGGCTGTGGGCAAACCTGGGTGAGGAGGTGGCAGGAGGGTCGCCCAGCAAACCCCAACTGCAGCCGCCCTGGAACTGCTGGGTGAATTGCAGCCACCAGGCCGGAGCCAGCACAGGCAGGCCCCCCAGGTACCACCCGGAGCCTCTTGGATTCTGAAGTTCAAAATCAGCGTGAAGAGCAGCTTGGCAGGGCCGGAAAGGAGCCACTGCCTCCCCGTCACGAGGGCACTCATGCAGGTGCAGAGAAGCGAGGGGCGTCGGGATATGACACGACAGAGCTTTTAAGAAAGAATAAAAAGCCAACACAGTTTTGAGCCACTTGAGGCGATTATTTTACGGCCTGGGGATGATGCCTGTTTTAGGACCAGCTCTGGGGGAGGCCCGTCAGGGCCACACGCATCCTTGCTCATCCTGCTCACGCACGTCCCATCATCGCTCAGCCATCCACTTGTGTTTTTGCTCCTGTTGTGAGCAGCAGCACCAGCTCAGGAGGAGACCCAGCTGCCCCCCTCTCCAGAGGGCCACGGCCACTCGGGCTGAGCAGGTGCCTGGGCAGGTGCCAGCTTGGGCTGAGAAGGTGTCATCGCAAGGCCTGGCCAAGTCCAGGTCCAGCCACTTCTGAACCAGTGTCTTTGGCAAGTTCCATGACTTCCCTGAGACTCGGTTTCCCCGGGTGCAGAGTGACGTGGCAGTTAGAGGTGCTAAAGGAGCACTTTTCGATGCCCTGAGTGGCAGTGGGGATGGAGTGAGAGGAAGGGTTTTCTGTTTGTGTCCGAACGTGAACTATCTGCCTGCAGGGCAAAGGATGCTGGGCTGGGCTTCCTGGAGAGGTCAGGTGGAGCAGCCACGTGCTCAGGGGCCTCATCCATGGACGTGTGTCCAGACCTGGGAACCTGGAGCCCTGGCCTTTGCCACAGCTGGGACACCCCAGAGTTCGCGTTCCACATTATACAGGCTGGACCCTGTACAGAGGCTCCTTGAGGTGGCAGAGAGTCTGTGAACCTCTTCTGAGCCAGGGGTGGCAGGAGCAGGTGGAGAGTTGAGTTGGGGATAGGCGGCCTATGTCTGCCTGGCCGCCCCAATAGACCGAGTGGCTCCACACTCGAGGTCCTAGACCCCAGCCAGTGGGGCAGGGCCAGGGCAGTGTTCATGCATGTGGGTCTGATGGCCTGCCTTCCCCGTCTCTCCACAGATCAACACCTTCATGTCTTTCGTGTTCCCCATGGTGCTCATCTCCATCCTGAACACCATCATCGCCAACAAGCTGACTGTCATGGTACGCCAGGCCGCCGAGCAGGGCCAGGTGTGCACCGTTGGGGACCAGCACAGCTCATTCAGCATGTCCATTGAGCCCGGAAGGGTCCAGGCCCTGCGGCACGGTGTCCGGGTCTTACGTACGTAACCACTGGGACCTTCGGGGGGCGGGTGGTGGCCAGAGGCCGTCAAAGTAGCAAGCATGGCACCAACAAATGGGGCAAAGTTTAAAGACCCAGGGGCACAGCACGACAGGGCCAAGACTCAGAGTGCTGGCTCCATCTGAGGTTGATGGTGCTTTTGGCTCCATTCATTCATCCATCCATTCATGCACTCATCCAATCATTCACTCATCTATTCATCCATCCATCCACTCACTCACTCATTCCCTCATCCATCCATCCATTCACTCATCCATCCATCCATCCATTCATGTCCTCATTCATTCATCCATCCATCCATCTATTCATGTGCTCATCCATCCATCCACTCATCCATCCATCCTCTCACTCACTCATTCATGTATCCAGTCACTCATTTATTCAACAAGTCTCCTGAGCACCTACTTAGGGTGAAGCAGCTTTCTCACAGAGCCTGGGGGCAGCAGAAGCAGAGGTCACCTCTACATTCCAGCGGGGGCACAGATTCCACCAGAGGAGACAAACATGTACACCACACACATTCGGACAGTGATAAGCATGGAGAAGAAAACAAAGCTGTGTGGCTAGATCTGGCAGCCAGGAGGGGCTCCCTGAGGAGGTGACATCCAGCTGAGGCCAGCAGGACCAGGAGCTGGTCTTGGCAATAGAGCTGCGAGCAGAGGAACAGCTGGTGCAGAGGCCCTGTGGCGGGTGGGGGCTGTGAGCAGAATCACATTTTTGTCTTTCTGTGTCTGGCTTATGTCACTGAGCATAAAGTGCTCAAGGTTCATCCATGTCATAGTGGATATCAGAATTTCCTTCCTTTTTAGGGCCGAGTAACATCCCATTGTTTGGATATACCACATTTTGTTTATCTATTCCTCTGTTGATGGACAGTTGGGTTGCTTCCATCTTTTGGCTGCTGTGAATAGTGCTGCTGGGATGTACAAATGTCTGTTGGCATCGCTAATGTCAATTGTTTGGGGCGTATACCCAGGAGCAGAATTGCTGGATCTATGGTAATTCTATTTTTAATTTTTTGAAGAACTGAATATTGTTTCCCACAGCAGCTACGCCATTTTACGTTCCCACCAACAGGGTACCCGGGTGCCAACTTCTGCACATCCTCATCAAATATTCTTATTTCCAGGGGCCAGCCTGGTGGCATAGTGGTTAAGTTTGTGCACTCTGCTTCGACGGCCCAAGGTTCGCAGACTCGGATCCCAGGCACTGACCTATGCACTGCTTATCAAGCCATGCTGTGGCAGCATCCCACATATAAAATAGAAGAAGATGGGCACAGATGTTAGTTCAGAGTCAATCTTCCTCAGCAAAAAGAGGAAGACTGGCAGTGGATGTTAGCTCAGGGCTAAATCTTCCTCATCAAAAAAGAAATTCTTATTTTCTGGTTGGTTTGCTCTGTTGATAGGAGCCATCCTAGTGGGTGTGAGGTGGTGTCTCCTTATAGCTTTGCTTTGCATTTCCCTGGCGATTAGGATGTCGAGCATCTTTTCACGTGTTTATTGGACATTTGTGTATCTTCTTTGGAGAAAAGTCTATTCAAGTCGTTTCCCCATTTTTGAGGTGGGTTGCTTTTTTGTTGTTGATTAGTTATCTCTATGTTCAAGATATTAACCCCTTATCAGACATGTGACTTGTAAATATTTTCTCCCATTCTGTGGATTGCTTTTTCATTCTGTTGACTGTGTCCTTTGACACATGGTTTTTAATTTTGTTGTCCAAATTATCTTTCTTTTGTTGCCTGTGCCTTTAATGTCATATCCAAGAAATCATTGCCAAATTCGATGTTGTAAAGTTTGAGCCCTGTATTTTCTTCTAAGAATTTTATACTCTTTACTCTTATACTTAGGTCTTTGATCCATTTTGAGTTAATTTTTGTATATGGTGTGAGGTAAGGGTCCAACTTCATCTGCATGTGGATGTCCAGTTCTCCAGGTACCATTTGTTGAAGAGACTGTCCTTTCCCCACTGAGTGGTCTTGGCAGCCTTGTAGAAAATCATGTGACCATATGTGTGCGGGTTTGTCCCTGGGCTCTCTCTTCTGCTCCGTTGGTCTCTGTGGTCTGTCTTTGTGCCAGCACTGCAGTGTTTTCATTCCTGTGGCTTAGCGGTAAGTTTTGAAATCAGGAAGTGTGAGCCCTCCAGCTTAGTTTTCCTTCCTCAAGGTTGTTTTGGTTATTCGGGGTCCCCTGAGATTCCATATGAATTTTAGGATGGGTTTTTCTATTTCTACAAAAAGTGTCGTTGGGATTTTGGTAGGGATTGCGTCGAGTCTGTAGACCGCTTTGTCCTCCTAACACGGTCAAGTCTTCTAGTCCGTGAGCACGGGTGCCCCCTCCACCTCCCTGAGGCCCGCGTCCCTGAGGCCTGTCTCTGGGTGTGTCTCTCTCCCTGAAGCCTGTCTCTTTCTCTCTGCGGCCTGTCTCTGTGTCTCAGGTGCCGTGGTCCTCGCCTTTGTGGTCTGCTGGCTGCCCTACCACGTGCGGCGCCTCATGTTCTGCTACATTTCAGAGAAGCAGTGGACCCCGTGAGTACCAGGACGCCGAGGCCAGGGGCTGCTCCCCAAAATGGGTGGGCGTGGAAGGTGGGGGCACCGAGAGGAGCAGCTCACGCCAGGGTGCGGGCCAGGTGTCCCCGAGTCAGCCCTCGGGAATGGCTGTGACTGGCCGGGGGAAGAAGGCCATGAGGGACAGATGCCCCGGGAAGCTTCTCGGCCGAGAGACAGGTTGCAGCAGAAGGAAAGCAGGTCCCTGAGAGTCAGTACCGGGGACAGGTTTAGAGATGTCAGAGAGTGACAGGGAAGGGCTGGCCCTGCCGGATGTGGGAGGAGGGATGGCAGCTCTCGGGGCTCCTAGACATTCCCCCCGGGGCTGGAGGCATCTCTAGGACCCCCAGGACTCCAAGAGAGCCACACCCAGGCTGTGACACATGGCAGCGAAAGGACAACGCAAAATCCGCAGAAGGAAAAGCACCTGAGGAGTTGGGGGTCCAGGGCAAGCTTCCAGAAGCCCCTTCCCGGACTGACTCCCCCAGGATGAGCTGTGACAATATGTGAAATGCTGTCTACCAGGAAGCTTGCCAGAGACCGAGCGTGCAGGGTTTTTACTGGGGGAGCCAGTCGCGCAGGCACCCCTGCCTGGCAGGCACCAACATTCCCGACTCCCAGAAGGATGCAGGTGCTCAGTACAATCCATGGTGTCTGCACAAACAGCTTGGACCTAGGAGCCCCTCCTACCCTATCAGGGATGGTGGGGACGCTCCTGAAATCCAAGTGCCAGTCCCAGGCGAGACCAGCCTTGCCAGCAGGCGTTTCTGAGATGGAAGCCTTCCCTGGGCCCGCAGCGCGAGCTCTTCTGCACAGCAGGACTGCCAGGTCAAAGGGTCACGGGTTCTTCAATGTGACAAGGAATCATTGGGGAGGGCAAATCTGGGAGAGGTAAAGAGAAGTTACGAGGAGCAGAGCGCAACCTCAGATAAAGGGTTTCTGAAACTCAGGGTTGCCTGGTGATGAAGTGAGCTGTCTGCTGAAGGGGTGAGATCCCTGTGGGCAGAGGCAAGTAAGCCGAGGGCAAGGTGCACAGCTCAGGAGACTTGGAGGCGGTTCCTGCCCTGTCTTTTGAGTTGCGGCCCAGCACAGCAGAGCCCTGCAGCCCTGGGGGCCTGGGATTCTGCCCACATAAGGGCAGGACAGGTGTGCCACAGGGAGAGGTGGGGACTGCAGCAAAGTGGAGCGGCCACACCCGGCCTGGGGACGGTAGATGCAAACCCAGCTCAGCTGACAGGTCAGGCAGGAGTGGGATCAGAACTTCCAACTTCTTCCTCAGGAGAAGCCAAAACCCTGAAATTCATCATGAAATAGCCCCACGTCAAAAAATTTGCAAGTAGTTGTTCATTATTGTCCCAGGCCCTGCGTCTGTCCGCTGGCTGCCGTGAGCCCCAGGCCGTGACTGCAGCCGGGTCTGCGCCCTCTCCCCGCAGGTTCCTCTACGACTTCTACCACTACTTCTACATGCTGACCAACGCCCTCTTCTACGTCAGCTCCACCGTCAACCCCATCCTGTACAACCTCGTGTCCGCCAACTTCCGCCAGATCTTCCTGTCCACCCTGGCCTGCCTGTGTCCCCTGTGGGGGCGCAGGAGGAAGAGGCCAGCCTTCTCGAGGAAGGCTAACAGCATGTCCAGCAACCACACCTTCTCCAGCAACGTCACCCGGGAGACCCTGTACTAGGGGTCAGGAGGGGGCCGGGAGGGGGCAGGAGGGGGCTGGATGGAGACAAGGATGGGTAGGGAGGGGGCAGGGAGGGGGCAGGAGGGGGCTGGATGGAGACAAGGAGGGGGTAGGGAGGGGGCAGGAAGGAAGCTGAGAGGGGGTTGGATGGAGACAAGTAGGGGGCAGGGAGGGGGCTAGGAGGGGACTGGATGGAGCAGGGAGGGGGCTGGATGGAGGCTGGGAGGGGTCTGGATGGGGGCAGGGAGGGGGCTGGATGGGGCAGGGAGGGGGCTGGATGGAGACAAGGAGGGGGCAGGGAGGGGTCTGGATGGGGGCAGGGATGGGGCTGGATGGAGGCTGGGAGGGGTCTGGATGGGGGCAGGGAGGGAGCTGGGAGGGGTCTGGATGGGGGCAGGGAGGGAGCTGGGAAGGGACTGGATGGGGGCAGGGATGGGGCTGGATGGAGTAGGGAGGGGTCTGGATGGGGGCAGGGAGGGGGCTGGATGGAGCAGGGAGGGGTCTGGATCGGGGCAGGGAGGGGGCTGGGAGGGGTCTGGATGGGGGCAGGGAGGGAGCTGGGAGGGGTCTGGATGGGGACAGGGAGGGAGCTGGGAAGGGACTGGATGGGGGCAGGGATGGGGCTGGATGGAGCAGGGAGGGTCAGGGAGGGGTCTGGATGGAGCAGGGAGGGGTCTGGTTGGGGGCAGGGAGGGGGCTGGGAGGGGTCTGGATGGGGGCAGGGATGGGGCTGGATGGAGCAGGGAGGGGCAGGGAGGGGGCTGGCTGCCTGGCCTTCATCCCCCACCTGGGAGCTGGAATGGGGGTGAGCTGGAGGCCTGCACTGTGGCATCTGAGGCCTAGGACCTGGCACCCACACCCCAGAGGCCCCATTTCTTTCAGCTTCTCCTCCCTCACCCCTCCCCATCCCTCTCTCCTCTTCTCTTTGAAAGTCAGAGATTGTTCCTCTCCCGGATCCAAAAGGCCCCTAATGAGGAGAAATTAGTGTTGAGTCAAAGGCAATCTTCCTTGTCCCTGGACTAATGGATGCTGAGAGGGAAGAGAAATGAAAGGAGCAGTGGGGCCGAGCCCCTGGGCAGCTGGGCTGGACAGGGGGACCCGAGAGGCGGCGCCGGGGGGAGCCTGGCTGTCAGGACCACCGCTGTCCTGGTACCTGAGTGAGAGGAGAGGGCTCCATCCCGCCTCTGGTCCAGCTCAAGAGGGAGTCAGCCCAGGTGCCGCAGGTGTCTGGACCCCCCCCACCCTGACAAGGACGACTCCCAGGGAGCTTTGATGTGCCCAGAATGACAATGGAAGGGTCTGCCTGGCACAGCCCGACCCAGGCCTCCCCCTTCTCCTTGCCAAAGTGGCAAGTCTCTGCAGGGATGCTGGCCTCCGACGGCCTCACAGTCTTCTCTCCGGGCCTCCCCGCACGGGCCCAGGTGGCCCAGGTCAGGACAGGGCAATCCCTGGCTGCTTCCACTCCCAGCTGTGCAAGTGAGCTCCAGCAGCCCGGCTCCGAGCTGCTTCAGGGTGAACACCCTGAGGCGGAAAGAACTTGCCGTATCACAAGAGATTTTGGTCCCGGGAACTCGGCTGCAGGTGAGGAGGAAGTGCCGTGGGTCCAGGCAGCCTGCCGGCCAGCAGCCAGGCTAAGGCCCAGACTCGTTTGTTACCAGTTGTCAGGCGGCGGCCCCAGCCCCGGCTCCAGGCGCCCAGAAAGGCAGGCACATCCTTGGTCTCTAGGAGCCACTCTCCAAACAGAAAGGACAGCCCAGCCCAGGAAGGTCCCCTGAGCCGGGGGGAGGCAGACCCCAGGGAGCTGCCCTGGACCAGCTGGGGCCTCAAGTGGCAGAAGGGGCCCGGAAAGCAAAATGGAGGCCTTTTTCAAGTAGCTTCTCCCACGTTTGTCCAGAAGGGAGATGGGTCAGAAGGCGGACGGCCTGCGTGGGCAGCCTTGGCTCAGGTCTCAGAAGACCTGGCCCTAGTCCAGGGTCTGCCAGGACTCAGTTCCCATCCACACAAACGGCGGTATCTGCGGTCACTTCGGATCTAGCCCCCCTGCTGTGAGTTGGTTTGTTACTTGAACCTTGAAAATCCTTCTCAGAGCCACAGGTCCTTTCAGTTCACCAAGAACAGGGCCAAGGACTCAGGCCCCCAAGGCGATCCTCGGGCCAAGCAGCCCTCCCACAACCCAGTGGCTGCTGACTCCAGGGGACAAGGCCAGCCCAGAGCGCCCACGCAGGCACCTGCTGTGCAGGGGAGCTCGGCCTAGCCGGGCAGGTGCAGGGGTCAGCACAGTCTCCAGCCATGTTCAGCGAGTGGACATCAGAGTTTGGCAAAGACCGAGGCTGGGCACAAGTGCCAGGCTTCAGATTGAGGACCTGGACTCACTCTGAAAGGTTCTCAGACCCCTCCCTGGCGGTCCCGATCTTCGGGCCCTCCAAGATTCATCTGAGCCTCGTTTTCCCCATCTGAGAAATGGGTGTGGTCGCTCCACCCTCTCAGCCTCTGCCAGGGCTGGATGTGACAGTGCTGGAGGAGCCAGCCTGCAAGGGACAGAAGGGACGGTTCCCTGAGGTGGGGACAGAGTTGACGCGGATGGAGATGCCCTGCGGCCCCCTTCTAGGCTCAGGTCTCCAGGGCAGGATCCCCTTTACTGCTGGTCTCTATGTCCCTGTGTGCGCACTTCATGTAGCTGGGGACACCTGTCCACGTGTCGCCAGACACCTCTCCATGTGCCGTCCAGCTCAGCACAGCCAGCTCCCGGCCACATCACGTTGTAACTGCCGAAGCCGGCTCTGCGTGCTGGGCGCGTGTCAGCCTCAGTGTCCAGTGTCCTGTGTGACTGCTCAGTGTTGATGGCGAAACCCCGTCGTGTCATTTCGCATGATGCTCAAGACGCCCCCACCCCCCGTGACGTACTGCAGTCGACAAAAGCAACCCCTGAACCTCTCAGTAAAGGAGACTGTCACCCGCATGGCTCAGACTCTTGTGTTGAGGGCCCATGGGCCTGCGTGCGTCCGTTCATGCCCTTACCCATTCCTGGCACAGCTGACAGCCCTCCCCAGGGCCCTTTTACCAAAAACGCATGAGCTTTGGCCATGTCCCCCGAAGGCTGGGGTCTGAGGGCCCGGGATCCCCCACTCTGGTGCTGCCCACCCCCTGCTGCTTCAAGAAGCAGCAGAGACAGAGGGGCTTGTGCGGGAGCAGGCCCCCCTGAGAAGCAAGGCGTCCCCTTGAGGCCTGGAGCCAGGGAGACCTGAGTCCATGCTGGCTGTGTGGACAACGCCCAGCCCCTCCCTGAGCCTCAGTTTCCTGATCTGTGGGCTGGGCACAGAGGAGGCCCACTGAAGGGGGTGCAGGGTCCTGTGACCATTTGACTCTGGTCCCCACGGCCCCTCTAGCCAACCCAGGGAACTGAGGGGACAAGGTCAGCTTCTCCCTAGGGGTTAGCAGGCTGGGGAAAGCCTGGGCCAGGGGTCACTAACCCTGTCCTCTTACATAGCCGCCCCGTGTGGAACCTCTTGCCAGCAGGTGGCCAGGACGCCCTCCATGGGAGATGCCTTCTGACTCAGGGTGTCCGCACCTCCCCCCTCTCTGCCCGCATCTCACTGCAGCAGGGCCCCGAGGCCCCGAGCCTCGGGGGACGAGAAGGACAGCATCTTTCCAGACTGCGGGGCTCCGGGAGAGCCTCTGTCTTCCCCCTGCAGTCTCCTCAGCAGCCTGGACTCAGCGGGAGGGGCTCCCTGGCATCAGAACGGCCAGCAGAGCCTTAGAGACTGGCTTCCCAGGCCCCGGCCTGCCCTGTGCGAGCAGAGGCCCCGGAACCTGGACCTTTAACCCCTGCGGCAGAGTCCAGGCCCACCGAAGAGCAAGAACCACCCATACCCTTCCCCAGCCCCCCATCCATCCATCCATCCATCCGTTCATTCATCCACCTGCCGGGTGCTCCTTGGGGCCTGTCTTCCTCAAAGCTGACTCACCACCCCATTCTGGTTGACACAGGGATGAGGGTCTGAGGCTCCAAGAGCTTCTGGCCCCTGCACTTGTAAGCCACCACCCACCCTCCTACCCCACAGCCCCTCACCCTGTCAGCAGGGAAGACTCAGGACTCTCACTCACTCCAAGGTGTAAGGGACTTGCTGGCAAGCTCTGAGAGGCACACTGACATTTTACAAGAATATCCAAAGGAATGAAACTCTAACAGTGGAATTTCAGGCCAGTCATGGAGAGAGAAATTTGGGGATAGCAAGCAGGCAGCCCTGAACCTTGACCATACTTCAATGCCACTGTTCCATGAGGCCAGAGCTCTGGCTGAGCCCCTCCCTAACTCCTACAGGTTTTCTGAGCTTGGGTCCCTATTCCAGCACAGGGACAGGGGAGGAATCTACCCTCGTAACGGGCAGGTACCTCTGGCTCCATTGCCATCGCCATCGCTAGGCAACAGGAAAAGGGCTTGGGAGAGAATCCTATACATTTTAAAATACATTTGAAGGAAGAAAACAAACAGCCAGCCACTGCAGGAGCCTGAGGACAGGAAAAGCTCCCTCCCCACCCCCTCGCTCCCCCCCCTTCCTCCCATCACCCCCCCATTGCCTATCTCCCTTCCCCCACCATCTCGCCTCCATCCTCTCCCTCTTCTCTCCTTACCACTCCTCCTTCCCACCCCCCATCCTCTCCCTCCCACCCCTTCCTCCCTCCCGCCCTCTCCCTCCTCCCTCTCTCCCACCACCGCCCTGCCACACTCCCCACAATTATGATTTGAATTCTGGTTTCTATCAGAACACCATGGAAACCAGTCCAGACTGACTTTACGAAAGGAATCACCTAGCTAGGACAGATTGGGGTCAAGGGGCAGGCCTCAAGCCAGAGTCTTGCCACCCTCATGAGGGACCTCCCAGCACACATGCGTACACACACCTGACACCCAGCTGCACAGCCTCCCACCCCACTGGGCTTCCTTCCTGGGCTCCAAGAGGCAGCCAGGTCCCAGTCTGTGGTCCAGCTCATGAGGTGGTCAGC